ATATATATATATATATATATATATATATATATATATATATAATGGCCAGCTGACCTTCAGTAGGTGGCTTGAGTATAATGCAAAACACGAAGCGATTGGTATAAAACCAGGAAATCTGCTATTAGTGATTAAGAGTTATGGTAATCTAATTATTAGTTATCCTTCCCCACCAAATCTTCCCCCGAGAAAGGATTGACAGGAAGTTAAGGTTTCTCTTGTGGTCTCTGGTGAGCTGGAAGTCTAGGTTTAGCATGCAATGTTACATGAGTGGACACCTCACCCTAATGTTTTGGTCGACCGTACAATATTGGTTTTCCAGGCATCAATCCCTTCCTACTATTTGCTGAGAAGGAATTACAGGAATTTCAATTTATGAAGTGGTTTGGGGGTCCTTTTAGAAATTTTGGTTCCGAATTTAATGATCTGTGTGTACAGAAAAGAATTTCGAGGAACTCATGAATGGGATTTATTTTTATTTTTTTCATATATTAAATCTTTCATTGTGATTAATTTAGTCATTTAGCCTTTGCCTAAAATCTGTATTATGACCCTTCGTACACATGCTCCCACCGATTAGGTCTTCTACATGAAAGGAAATTCTGTGCATTGATTCAAGATTTTGCACACTGGGTAGGAACTATTCTGAACATTGCTTTCATTTAGATCATAATGAACTTTTGACCATGTTGCTCTTGAACAGGAATTTTCTGACTGTAGCCTTAAAGCTATGTGAGCAGGGGTGTTAAAAATATTTTACCATGGGACCATTGGTTCCAGAAAGTATTCAGATCTGCTAAAAAAGAGGGAAGAATGAAAAATCTAGAATTTGCACGGGCTGTTGCACACACAAATACTGTACAGTTGCATGTCAATTTTTTTTTACAATGTTCAATTAAGTAGCCAATTGCCAAAAAAAAGCTTGTTGCTGCTACATCATTTTGGAAATTGCATTTGAAGCTTGGTTTTTTCTCTGAGACAAGGTTTACTAAGAAAGTAGTAGGAGAGTTTGGTGCTGTGATGAATACAGTCAGTTTTCCTACAATATGGTTTTGGTCATACACTGTTTTGGTTTTGCCACCCCCTTGGTCAACATGGGGTCTTGTCTTTACACGGTTTCAATTTTGACCCTTAAACTGCACCTAATGAATTGAATTCACATACAGTACTGTACTGTAGTTTCAGATGGGGCAAGGTTTCTTTTTCTTTTCTTTTTTCCTTCAATAAGATGGAAAAATACATACAATACTTAATTAACAAAGTTATGAACAAAAGAATTGCATTGCTATTTCACTTTACTGTATTAATCATCTTATACCAGTGTATGTATTTTTATAAGGTAAAATGTTGTTAGCTCTAAGGGAAAACTACATTTTTACACACAAAAGACAAATGGTACAGGTTGAGTTATGAGTTATCTATAAATTAGTAGTACAAGTACCGGTACTGTATTACTATACTGTACTGTGTAAAATAATGATTTATTTACCTTGCATTACTCCCACCTGCACAAGGACATTCAGACAAACCATCCCTCTGGGGTTTGCCTGAGGCAGCGTTATGCCATGCAGGACCACAAATTTAAACTTTAGATGCATGGGTTAAATTTGACAGCTGTAATGTAATCCAGATATTTGGGTCTCCGTGTAGAAAAATTGCTAACTAATTAAGCATACCCTAAAAGTCCTAATTAATGATATGTCAGAATTAAAGAAGGGCAAAGTTGAGGGGTGCAGCTGTATATGGTATACCCTGTATAGTATAACATCAAAGTCAAATACTTCACAGTACATTGATACAACTAGATTGCACACCTCAAGGGTGCTGCATATTCTATGGTCTTCCTAAGGGGATTGTCCACTCAGTCTCTCCTTTAGTAGGGCACTTAGTCTTTGGCACTATAATGATGAATTGTATGACCCTTGGAAGTTAGAAATGCTGGTATCCATGTACCCTGTTATGTTTTTGTAAAGGTAGAGTTAACTTCCCTTTCAGATGCTATGTCACATCAACAATTGGAGCATTTTAGGACTACTTTACATTTCTTCTCTTTCTTAGTTGATTTTGGACACTTGAAATACCTAATAAATGATGACTACCTATTATTGGAGGATTAATCCTTACTACCATTTTTAAGGCAGAACCTGGATGTAGGTTAGTTGTGGAAGTCTATAAGATTGCATAGAGATTGAGGCCTATAAAATCAGCATGGCTGACCTGAACTAAAGGTTGAGGTATGCACTAACTAGAATACTGTATTGTGATGTCATGTGCTGCATGAGAGAAACTTGATTTTAGCCTAAACTCTGTTGGGAGAAAGTTATGGGTAGGATAATGTGACCAGCTGTTAGATTAAGTACTTAACACTAACATTAACTCTTCTGGGTCTAGACCTGTAGTGTAATGTTTTGCACTGTACTTGAGTTACATGGGTTTTTGGCTTGACCTTGAAATGGGATTTCAGGATCAACCTCAATGTTTTTTTTTTTTGTTTTTTTTTATTGTATGAAAGGTTAAAAGTGTGCAAGATTATATATGCTAACTAAGTTTTGTAAGTTTTCAACTTGATTTAGGAAACTAAGTGTACCGTACTGTATAGAGAATTATTGATGTCAACAAGTTAGATTTTTTAATGAAGTTTGGAAATACAGTAAATTGCATATAATTACTGATGTTTCATGGAGGCTTTCCATAAACTTTAAAAGAAATAATAAATAATTATTCAGCAGTATGAATATCATTGAAATATGAAATAATCTCCTATAAGTTTTAAGGAGTTTCTGTAAAAATTATTTTTTTTTATATTACACTGGTGAATAAGTTCCTGAGCAAAAAATAATTTTAAAGATGTCAAACATCTTGCAAGGATTCCTGTTACGTGATATTACTATACTGTACCAAAAATGCAGAAGTAAGTACAGTACTGTACAGTAAAGTGTTACTAAATTTGTTTTTGCTATGAGGTCATTTTTTGTGACAGTTTACCAAAACCTAAAAAATTCCTGTTGTTCTTAAAGCATGGGTTTGATATTCTTCATGTTGGCACCATCGATACATGGGTATTCTTTCCATTATCTTTTAAAGTAATTTGTCATTTTATTGGAAGTGTGAACGAAAATAAAATAACCACTTCAGTCTTTTAAGTTACAACTATTCAACAATTATCTGAGTAAAAAGTAAATTTTGCTTCTAAGATTCTTTTATAAGGTGTCTTTAAAAATTTAATGATTGGTGTCTTCACTTTTACAAAGTGCAGCTACTAATGTTTCCAAAAAACTTATTACCTCTTTTTAACTTGAGAGAGAAAAAGAAGGCTGCGTGTCATTCCTGCATGATTTGCATGGCTGGTAATCCACTGGTCTCGCCTCACATTGATTAACGTCCAACAGCTTCTTACAATTAATTTGCTGCAGCTGATGCTTTGGTGTTGCAGAATTCTGTAATGTCCCAGTGAAGCACGATTCTTAACAGGTGAAATCCACCTTTCTTCTGGGTCTTATGATGGCACATAGAAGGAGATTGTGTATTTTGTATCGTGAGTAAAAACTCTTGTTGCCACAGAAAACAGGATATTCTACACTGAGGTGAGGGACACCTAAGTTTACTGCTAGATACTCATCTACCAAATCTTTTCATAATGGTTTACTGTCTACAAAATTATGCAACCTTTATTCTAAAATTTTAAAGTTTTGAAAATTTTTACTTAGTTCTTTCTATGGAATCAGTGTTTTCACATGCGGTATGCAACATTTTTTGGAATGTGTGCTGTAATAACAACAATGTAAATTTTTTATAGCAATACTTAAAGAAGTTCATTGTCATCTTAAGAGAGAATTTATTGTAGGGACTATTGAACAGTAAACCAAAAGCATCATCCATGTGCTTTCATCTTTATTAGGAAATTCCTATTGAAATGGAAATTTCAGGAGACAATTTTAAGATGCTAACGTTGTTAGATAATATACCTATGCAGTACACTATGTACAGTAGTAGCAATGTTTATAAAATTAGTGTATTTTCAAGTTTTTTACCTGTTCAGTATTTTACCTGATTTACCAATAACTCCTCAAATTTACCGTATAGTATAGAAATTACAAGTTGTTGAAGTACAGGCATTAGGAGTCATTCAAGCTATCTTATATCTCATATTTTATAATGTTGTTAGTCTCTAAAGCATTAATGGTCTCAGATAAGCAGAACTTAGATTAGGTACTAAAATTAAAAGGTAAATACTTTTTTTTACAATGAAATACAGTACACCATATAGAGTTCTTGAAGTAATCATTGCTTATATGGAATACTGTACAGTGATGCCCATCTTGGTAATTTGTGCTCTGGGGAATTCTGCCTTATGTAGCACACTTTTCCTATTTGGTATATTTTTAATTGTGCTAACTCATTTTCATATTTTTCCAATCTACAGGTATGCTGTTCATTCTTAATACAGTATCTGAAAATACTCTGTTATCAGATTGATATCTTCAAGTAATAATTGTGATTATTTTCATGTAAATACACCTGTACAATTAATTAGTTTTAACTCTGGCATTAGCATAGACAAATACAATACAGTACAGGTACTGTACATGTATTTGTTTTTGTGGTCTAGTTATTTATTTAAATTTTGTATTTGCTCAAAATTAAACAATATTTCTAACTGATAACTACTTATTGAAGGAGTCTAATACAGTACTGTATATTTGTATATTCAAAGTTATATGAATATAACCAAAATTTTGAATAAGTTGTAGAAACCAAAATTTTTCAAAAATTAATCTCTACTGTTTTATATTTTAGATGCAATCCATGTACAATACTGTGCTTTAATTCATCCAAAAATGCAATAAACTGTATTGCTGTCCGGGTCTTACATGAGATCAGTGTAGTTTTTCTTGTTATTAATTTATAATCTATTATGTCTTGGGGTTATTAAGGTTATTTCTCTTTATGGTGAGACAATGTTATTTTAATTGAAAATTATATGAGAGTATTTCTGTCTTCAGAGCGGGACCCAGTGAGTATTGAACGCAGCAATCTTGTAAATATCTGCAAACTGGTGGTTAAGGAACTCATAGAATCCTCACTCAAGTTTGGGCGTCAACTTGATTCAGATTCTGTACCTCTTCAACATTTTTTCATTGTCTTGGAACATGTCTTGCGTCATGGCCTGAAACCAAAGAGGGTGAGTCATTATGAAATTTTTGTTAATTTTCATTAAAGAAATACTGTATCTTGAATAAGTATGGGATATTGTTAATTGTCTTTTGATCTATGTTGTTGTATTTATGGCAAGATACTGGTCCAAAGAGATTTGTTTTATACTCACAGTGTGTATGGGTTGGAAACCCAGTCTAATCCATGACATTGATGGCTGCCACTAATCAAATAATTAGCAATGCCTTCCCCATAGCTATAATATTTATGAAAAAAGGAATATGTTCTGCATATGAGACCTGAAGTTGCCTCAGTGGGCTGAAAGCCTGGCAAGTCTTGCACACAGTAGCATGTGTAATCTCACCTTCCTTTGTTTGATTTTGGCCATAATGTATTTCTTGTAACAAAAATCACAGCTAACACAATGATGAAGAAGAAACATTAAGCTTTGTGTCTATACTCAGAGCTAATTGCATTACTCCCATAAATACTCTACCCTCTACACATCTACAGTACAATATTAACATTTTATTTTTCAAAACAGAAGCAGAAAACTTAACACATGAAAAAGTAGTATGGCAAAGCCACACAGTTATTGCATTGTCAGAATTGTAAGACAAATTCTAGACTACTTTGCTTTGGGTTGGAGGAGTTGTTTCAGTTGAGTCAATGATTCAATTAACAGATCATCCAGCTGCTAGTTGGTGGCATAATAGAACCTCTCTAGTTCATACACCCTTGTGACTAACCATATGGCAAACATGTGAATTTTGTGAATAAAAGAGTGACTAATAAAGTAATGAGGATACAGTGACCCCGGGTACAATGCCTTACTGTACTATATTAAGACATAGAGACCATAAGCACAAATTGTCTTGTGTAAAAAAGTACTGCTGACACTACGAGCCCAAATTAAACATACATGCACGATGAGAAATGAAACACAGTTATGTGATTATACAAATTGATCTTGTGAAACATCCATAATTTGTAATTTGTCATAAGTCGTCTAATTTTAAACATTCATGAACTCAAAATTTGCAAGAGGAGAAATCCTATAAAGTGAACCATGTACTACAGTATTTGAATGTTGAAAATAGAGATGCATTCCACAACTTATACTGTTCTGCCCCAGACTCATTTCTAGCAATGTGTTTTGACATTTAAACACTAATCACCCAATAAAAAAGTCATAAAATAATAGTAAAAAAATATATACTATATAAAATAAAAGATTGGAGTCCAGAATAGCCCCAACACTGTACTACAGACAAATGATATCCTGATCCTGAAGCTAAAAAAAGTTATTGCAGCTCATATATAAATCACTTATTCTATAATATTTTCTCTGAACACAATGTTCATACAGAATTTTCAATAAGAAAATGAAAACACACTTCAAATATTACTGTATGTACAGATGTCAATTTAGGTCACATCTTCCAGTTGTAACATGGTGCTGCCAGACAAGGAAATGCTTACTACTGTTTGGACAGTTTGTCTGCTCTTTATTACCTCCTTCATTTTCCAGTGTCAGCTCAGGAGGAAACTAGAGTACCCAGAGAAAATATACAATACCTGTATTTACTTTTTACTCATTTACTTTTATCCTCTTCACCACTGATCGGCTCGTTAGCCGTTTGGGCGATCGGTCACGTCTCTGTTACTTTTCTTTTTCTTTGATCATCTTCACCAAATGATCGGCTCGTTAGCTGCTTGGGCGATCGGTCATGTCTCTGTTACGCACTGTTGGCAAGTACTGGGCATGTACTGGCTCCTGAATGTACCTGAACCTGCTCCAGTGTTGGTCAAGTCTGGTCATGAAAGAGCTCACACTCGATGCCATCACAACACTTTCTGGTAGATTGTTCCAAGAGTTCACAACTCTCGCTCCGAAAAAGTTTGCCCTCACAGTTTTCTGGACTTGCGGCTTCTTCAGTCTTGAGCTGTGACCCCTTGTGGGGCGAGCTTCAGCCAGCTCCAAGTAAGGACACTCGAATGAGTAGTTCCCCTTGAGATGCTTACCTTATACACCTCAATTAGGTCACCCCTTGCCCGTCTGTAATATAAGCTAGGCAAGTTCAGGCGCTCCAATCTCTCAGGGGGTAGTTGAGGTGCTGAAGTGCAGGCACCAGTCTGGTGGCCCTCCTTTGAACATTTTCAAACCAACTGACAGTCCCTAGCATATCTCGGGGACCAGACGTGGTGACAGTACTCCAGATAGGGAAGCATATCTAAACGACCTTCTTATAAGACCCAATAATTTATTTGCCTGATTTACCTTCTTTTCGCAATAGCCCGAGAACTTCAGCTCATTGTCATCATACACACCTAGGGTCATGCAGATAATGCCCTTAGGTCAAACTCACAGGTGCTGGTGTTTGTAACATAGTTCAGTACAGTACATGAGTTGCCCTATTCATGGTGATTGTGTAATGAGTTTTCAGGATCAATCCCTCATTTGTAATTAAATTAGGACAAGGACACTTGAATACCCTCCATCCTCTCACTGATCTTATCATGAAAGCTGACTGGATTAAGGCTTTTAACTGAAAATACAACATGGCCAATGACAGACAAATGAAAGCAAGGTTGTGCATGTCTTGGGGCATTCTTGGTGCCTGATCACTCCTCAAGGAAGAAGGGTACTGCAGAAAGGTACTGGATTACAAATCATTTGATTAATGCCAGTCATCCATGTTGAGGGTTTGTCTGGACTTCAAACCTGTAACCTTGATTAATATAATACTGTACATGAATTCCCTTGTCACATTTCCAGTATGAAAGGAGATTTCCAGAATTAATCCATCGTTTATCCTCTTGTAGGGTATTTTGGGACCAAAGAAGGAGCTATGGGATCTGTTTCAAATGGTCGAAAAGTGGAGCTATGAGGCTCAGGACATCACTGCTAGTGTGCGGGATCTACCCACAGTCAAGTAAGTTTAAATATAAAATAGGTACCGGCAGCATTGTACAATGTACATAGACCACAGAAATGCTTGTATGTCTGTTAAAATGACTTGCCTCATATTATATACCGCACTGAGTACAATATCTGTACTGTTTTAATGATGTGAAATTATAAAATTATATACTGTAATGTATAGATTAATCTCCTTATTATCCCTGTCCTTACCATACTAGTTTCAATAAATTAACATAAAATATTTTGACAAAACTCAGCTTAAATATACTTTGCTTCACAAAACTAGCTGGCGCATCAAAAACACTGGTCAGTAAGCCAAGTTGAATATTTTGTCTGAGAAACTTAAGCAGTATGTCTCTCTCATATAAGAAAATAAGTAAAATAAGTGCAAAATTATCTTAACCCTCTTGGGACTCTATAAGATTTCAGTGTTTCCTGTAAAATTTGAATCGATTATCCATCAAATAATGAATGTGCTACAGTATTTTATTTTTTTTTGTATATGGTAAGTTGACATGACCATGATGTTTTTATATCTGACATTGAAATTTTTCAAATATCATGAATCCACTCAAAATAAATATACATGTACTACAGTACACTGTACAGTATTTTTTACCAAATAGCTTCTTTTTTTTTTTTTAGACTACTTTATAGTTCAGATGATAATAACTGCATACCAAAAGTATAAATTCTTCATATATAGCTGCATTAGTGGCATAAATTCACTAATAATCTGTACAGGGTATTTCTTACGTGGAAATACCTGTACAGGGATTAATTGGGGGCAAAGGTGATATGGGCTTCAATTCAATGAGCTGCCTGGCTGAACAGCATCTCCTCATAGAATTTCTGTTACTATAATGGTGCCCAAGGGGATGTGCTCAGGTATTCTCCCTCCTTATGTGGCTCAAGGTTAGGTCAAATTGATTCCAATTCAGTATAGCAGAGCCTGACAATTGCTAGTTTAAGTGCTTATACTACCGGTGACACTGCATGACACTGCATGCTCATGATAGACTCCTGACTTTTAATGGTAACCTTAGTAGTCAAGATCTTCCTCTTTGAAGGAGATGGATGTCACAAAGAGTGAATAAGTAATACTTTCATCCCTATTTCCTAATCATTTGATTAATTGGTATCTAATCAAAAGGTTAGTTGCTCAGCCATCAATTCTAGGACCATGTGGGGGGTCTTAGTCCATGGACTAAGTGAGTTATACATCATGTGAGCCACCTGGCTCACATATAGTTTTTCAGAATCAATCCACTATTTCTGATGAGCTTATCTTATTTTTCTCCAAATTTCTTCATGGAATAATAATTACAGTACACATTGATTTTTTTTTTCATTTCAGAACTCACATTGGAAGAGCACGTGCTTGGCTTCGCCTAGCGTTGATGCAAAAGAAGCTTGCAGACTATTTTCGACTCTTGATTGAGAGGAGGGATGACTTACTGACCGAATTTTATGAGACTGGAGCTCTGATGTTGGCAGACGAGTCCATTGTGATCATGGGGCTCCTAGTGGGACTCAATGTCATTGATTGCAACTTATGTGTTAAGGTGAGTTCTTCATCTTTGTCTTATAAGATTATTCATCTTTAAGTTTTAAAATATCATCTATAAAACTCTTAAATAGATGTTGAGAAGTTAAGAAATAAAAGTACCTGCATGAGCCAGAACTAACATCAGCTGGATGAGAAGGTGGGAGATATTTTGTTACAACAAAAGAAAAAGAGTTTGAAAGGCTTGTGGAGGCACAAGAAGAATGTATTGCTTCATGTTTGTGAAACTGTAAGGAAAACCTATAGAAAAATAGGAATAGCATGATTGAATGCAGGGCCAGCGTTAGGAGGTGCGGGGCCCAATTAGGAACAATTTTGGTGGGCCCCAGATTTATGTATGTAAAACAGGGGTTGGGGAACTTTTTTAGTATTACCCAAAAATTTATTTGGGAAAAATGGAATTACTCTGTACCTCTAGATTTGAAAAAAAAAAGCCACGTCTGTTTACACATGTCATTTATTTATTCATTTATTTAAAATAATACTCGTACTGTCTGTAAATATGACTGAATAAAGCAGAAAACATATAACACCTGCCTATCACTTCTTATGAAAAGCCGTAATTGAAGGAATGCTTGAGAAAATTAATTCATCTTCATCGTCACACATAATGATATACGATCATCTTTTACCTGATGTTTTATGAATATTTTGTACTGCTCTTTACAGTAATCTTCCGAAAATCATTGACTTTATATTTCAGATATATGGTTTATATCTTGGTCACTAAAACTTACCTCATTCATGGGTCCCTGACACAAAATTAATCAGCTAGTAGTAAGATCCAGTCAGCTGTGTTTACACTCGATGGAAGGGAAACTCACACCATGAGATGGAAACAAACGTAAATCTGACGACCTCTAGAAACTTTGGTCAGTCACCATGCCAAAGAAAACGTTTTTTAACAATGCGGATTAAACTCGAGGAAACTGAGGCCCTCATGTCGCATGTATTACCAAACTTTATAGATTTACCCCATTTGGGATAATTTACCCCTATCCCTCGACTCCTTTTGTAAAACTTAAATACAAGTACTTGAGTCTGAATATAGGCCTGCTATATAATTTGCAAGAGAGATGTGCATATTCATAAAGATGTAGTATAGTAATTTAATCACATGATACTGTTAAAAGAAAATACTATAGGTTTATAGATATTTTAAAGCTGTTACACGTTTATTTACATATTTGTCTTTTTAATTTTTTTCAGAGAAATATTTTTAATGCTGTTCTGTAATTAACATATTATATAATTAAGGTACACTAAAAAAAATTCAAAACATAAAGAGCAGAAATAAGCACTACCGACTTTGTAAAAATTCATAAAAAATTTTAATACCTAATTGCTGTTCTCTGGAGAACCTGAAATGTGGTGCGACATAATTATATATTGCAATGTGTTGTTGTGTGTACTTGACGAGCCGAGAGTAGATTACTCTAGCGCGGGGCCCCCTAAGGCGCGGGGCCCAATTGGGAGCAAGTGGTCCAATTGGCTTAAGGCCGGCCCTGATTAATTTGAATGTTGATGCAGTACAAACCAATTGGATCATAGTACAGGTATTATGTTCCTTCAACTTCTTTGATAAACCCAGTCGTGGTCAGCTTTCCCAAAAGAAGAACTAAATGGAGAAAATGAGTAACATTCTAGCATGCTCTATACTTCACCTATAGATAGTGTTTGTCCTTATAAAATAATATACTGCATGTATCTGTTGGTGATCTAGGAGGAAAAACAATATCTGTTTTCAACTTCAATATTTTATTTTGTGGTCCAGCCATATTAAACAGGAAAGTGCTATTAAAATTAAACAGAAACGGAATAATGGTTGATGCTGGGTGAATGAGTTGGATTTGTGCTGCAGTGAGAGGGAAGGCTGGCATTTAAGTCAATGGCTGACATATACACACACCCATGCTGGAGCTGCCTTAAGGCCACATTACTAGTGAAGGCAAGGAAAAACATCCATCTGTGTGTGCATGCGTGTGCAAAGGGGAACACGCATCCGATTTAAGTCGAGGGAATTGATGATGGACAGTGAAGTAGTGTTTGAACAGATAATAATTATTGTGGAACAAAATAGTCCTTCATGTGTGGGAATACTGTACTTTTTTTAACACTTTTTATGCACAATTGATTTACTTGCAGATAAATTAGTAAATATACTTTAGATGTCCTTGAGTCAGGACTTGGTTTTCTGAGACTCATATATTTATTATTTATCATCCAGTAAATCATTTGCATCATTTATGGTAAGGTAGCCACTGCATAATTTTTTCCAAGCAAACCTTAGTTATTGACATCTCACCTTATACCACAAACGAAACAACAGGAATTTCTTAAATACTTTACAATATTTGCAAAGGAGTTTTCATGGTGTATTTTGTTCTATACACTTTAAATATATAGCCTATTTATTCTTCTTTTTATTCATATACTGTACACTCTTTTCTTACCCCAGGAAGAAGACTTGGATAGTCAGATGGGTGTTATTGACTTCTCACTGTATCTGCGGAATGCAGGAGGTGATACAAGTCCAGATGATTCCCCAGAACAGTCAGACATGACTACAGTACTTGACCAGAAAAATTACATAGAAGAACTTAATCGTCACCTTAAGTAAGTTATTTTAATATACAGCACATTATTCGGTATTTCATAAGTACAGTACAGGGTTTGACTATTATACAATGAGGTTAGAGACTTTGAAAAGCAATTGTAATGTGATTGATCGTACAGTGTATCGATATTAATAGCTTATGGGAAAAAATAGGTGCTGTTCCTGAGACCCTCAAGAGCCAGAGTTAGCACTCACAGTGGTTATTTTTCAACTCGTAATTTTGCATAGATATATGTAATTTTATTTTCTTTGCTTTTTAGCTCTGTCACATGCACACACAACCGTTCATACAGAATGTGCCCCCCAAAAAAACAAAATAATTTTCACAGTGGGTAGAACAAGCCCATCTACAGGATGTCCACCAAATACTCCTCATGTTCATGGTACTGTAACACATCTAATCTTAAATCCAAATTAATAAACTGATGAAACCTCTTGGTAAGAATGCTTTCTGGTGTATTTGCTGAACCATTATCTGCTCACATGGATGGGTCTTGGGAGAGTTAAACAAAAAATAATCTTGGGTTCTACACTGATGGCATTGTGAGCATATATACTTAGCTGCCTAGTGAAGTGCAGCTAGCCATAAAACACTGTACAGAATAAAGAAAAGGCATCTCATGTAGTTGGGCTCTATTATAGCATTTTGTACAGATTTTGAAAAATAGAAAAGAAGATTTATAAAATCATGTCTTCTTTCTCCTTTTTAGCGCTACAGTGACCAATTTGCAGGCAAAAATGGAAGCATTAACTACCACAAATGCTCTGATGAAGGAGGACTTAGCCATTGCAAAAAACTCTATCCTGCATTTGCAAGATGATAACGATCGTCTACGAAAAGACAAGGGCTTGCCCACTCAACAGCAGCAAGAACAGTTAGACAAAGAGGTCAGTGCAAATTTTTACAATATACAGTAGTTAAAGTTATGTAAGGAGAAGGTCTTTCCAATATTTGTTGTATAATCTTGTGAGTCCAGTTTATGGATGTGCATGTAGTAAGATATTAGATGTAGCCCTTGAGATTTTAAGTAGTCAGTACCCATGTTATTGCCATTTCATTGTATGAAATATTTAATCAAGTAATTGGTCCTTGGGCTGGGGTTGGAATCAGGGGTTTTTTGATTGTATAATTCTCTGATATCTGACCTAGTTCAGTGGAGGCACTGTGTAGCTGATATGGATCACAGTTATTGGTGCCAAATTTGCCTTTATACCTTATACCTGCATTTATGCCAATTAAATTGTTAGCTCTAAGGGAAAACAACATATTTCCTCTTAAAGTATGAATGGTTCATGGGGAGTCATGCAAAAATTAGTACAGGAGTATTAATGTATAACACAAAGATTTAGTCATCTTGCTTGACTCCCACCTGCACAAGGACATTTATACAAAACATGCCTATAGGACTATGCCTGAGGCTTTGTTCTGCCATGTGGGACCACAAATTTCAGCATGTCGGACACATGGGTAAATTTTGATTAGAGGGATTTAGGTGTACACTATGGTACACACATGAGAGACTTACCAATATTAGAGGAATATATAGAAATGTGCTGAGGTTTAAGTCACATCAGAAATCTCCTTGGTCAGCTGTGTTGTATTGTAGAAGAAAGTTTGTAAGACGTAGGTAGAGCACTTTCGGTATACAGTCGACCCTCGTTAATTCGGACCCCTTTAATACGGATTTCGGATAATTCAGACGAAATCTGAACTGTCCGTATCAAATTTCTGGTTCTGGGATTGTCCCAGTTGCAATTGGGTTGCAATTTCAAATTCTGTGTCACTTCTAAGGATTAATGAAGTCTCTGGTGCACTCTAAGATTAAGAGAAAACGGACGACTCAGGCATCCTGAAGTGAGAGAAAACGGACTCCTATGACAGGGCATTCAAATAAAGAGACATGGCTACATGTTTTGTGGACTACCCACTGTACAGTATCCTTTTCATCACTTTGTAATAAACCTAGTCATGCCTATGTGTGTTTCTCATAATTACCATAACATTATATATTTATACAATTACCAGTTGTACAAACACAAGGCCTTACACATGCCACTCAGACTGACAGACTTGACAAGTTTTACCAACCATAAAGACAGTTGAAGCTTTAAACATCACTCACAATGGATCTTGAATATTCCAACTGTAATCAGACATACCTAAGTTGCCTCAACAATTGCAACCCCAGTTGCAATATCAAATTCTGTGTCACTTCTAAGAATTAATGAAGTCTCTGGTGCACTCTAAGATTAAGAGAAAACGGATGACTCAGGCGTCCTGAAGTGAGAGAAAACGGACTCCTATGACGGGGCACTCAAATAAACATACACATAGCTGTATAATGCAATATTATGCAATATTAACCCCTAAATCGGTTAATTCGGACAATCGGCTGAAACAGACACCCTTCCCCCCCTATTAGTCCGAATTAATGAGGGTCGACTGTACTGTATTAACTCACAAGTACTCAGTAGAAATTCCTGTAAGTTTAGTAATAATTGATCTAAGTGTGCATTTCATGTTGATGCCTAATATTTAAAAATATTGTTTCTTGCAATCAGGCAAAAAAGGCAAGTCGCATAAGTGTGATTGGCTGTGAGGAGGAAATGCAGGATCTGAAGCGCCAGCTCGAAGAAGAGAGTGCTCATCGGAATCAGGTGGAAAAAGAACTTGAGCTTCAAATTCAGATGAAAGCTGAAAGTGAGATGGCTGCTAAGTTGTTGGAGAAGGACATTCATGAGAAGCAAGATACTATTATCTCATTACGGCAACAACTGGATGAAATAAAAGTCATCAACCTTGAAATGTACCGGAAATTGCAGGTGAGCATTTAATGCCATTTTCTGGTTGTACTGTATTGAAATCTTTGTTGAGGGATCAGATTTTGGTGTCCAGATCTACTGGAATATTATGGTCAGATGGAATATGAGAATTAAAGGGACTTGAGTATGAAGGGTTATAGTAGGGCAGTTTTGCAGTCAGGATCAACTTAGATTCTTTAGAAATGTCAAGAGTTGCTATGTGGATTTTACTGTTGCAGTGTATTGATTGGTGGATTAAGTATGTGAGGAATGATAAAAGATCAGAAGTATGGCATCCACTACGGAAGCTATATCACTGACTGCTGGGTAAATTTTTATTTTTAGTAAGTCTTGAAATAAGACTATTCATTACTATTTCAAAATCTTTACTGTTGTTGAGGGAATTTTGTGGTAATTTGAGGAGTTTAATTTATAATTGATGCAGTGGATGTTTGACCCAGAAAATAGCTTTGATGGTCTGTGTAGACTGAGGAATTTTGGAAGGTTATTCTTTGTTCCTTATTTCAAATTATTTGAAAATGAAGATAACCTCCCCTTGGGGTGCAGTATGACATTAACATTGGGAATATTACTGCCACCTCCTCCCACTTCATGCTGGCCTCAATACTTCAATTGCCCAGTGAAGGGCGGTTAGTCATAGATGAAGGATTGATGAGGAAAACCCATTTTATGGCGGAGCCCAGAACTTGATGGCTTGGAACATTCCTCCTACTGTGGGGTAGTATGGACATTTGCCTGGAATGATTAAGGTAGGGACTGAGAGCCTTTTTATGACTGACAGAGAACAGGCAATGTGCAATTATTTTTGTGATGTCAGATTTGAACTGATCTCTTCCCACTTGACCAAACGGATTTAAACCTTGGCTTCCATTTACCCCCTTTTATTAAGATTAACTTGTCATTCAGATTAATTCTGACAACTAGCATCAGTCTTTTGGGTCCTAAACTGACAGCTAAGTCAGTATACTGAAGCTGCCTAGGTCCAGGCTCAGCTATAAATGTGTTTTCAGGATAATTCCTTCATTTTCATGATCCAGTATGGTAAAAAATCTTTTGTTCCTCAATTGTGGTTTATGTCCTGTGAGTTAGGCTTTTGTGATGCCTTTGCTTCAGGAATATTTTGCAGGTTTGATTGCTTTATGGGTGCTGCTCAAGTTTATCATAATTCAGTCTGTAGATTTGTTGCTGGTAGGATTTCCAAGTAGATTTATAGTTGTTAGTTGGCCTTGTGGAGGGTTCATATGGCAGTCCTTGCAAGATACCTAGTTTTAATATATTTTTATGGTATGTAAGGTATCCTACTGTTATATTGGTAGGTTTCCTCTCTTAGGGTGCAGTCTCACATTAATATATGGAGCATTTTATGCCATCTCGTCTCATGTTTTAACTGGCTTTAGGTATTTGAGTAGCCAAGCAAAAGGCATTAGATCATAAATGAAAGATTGATCTGGACCTTATTTTATGACAACCGGCAGCTTTGTAACTCTGACACCATCCTTCCTCCAAATAAGTAGTGGAAGTTAGCAGGAACTGAGTGGGTTAATGCTTGGAGCCCAAGGTGACTAACCTGTAACACTTGAAAGTGTGGTGCTTTTTACATTAATATGAAATCATTGTCTCATCGGACTCCTGCTTTTAATGATGACTTTTGCTTTCGGGTCTCCCTCTTAGTGATGTTTGCAACTGGGAGTTTAAATGAACTATATCATTAAGTCCTAGTCACTAATGCTGAAGAGTTCTCTGGGTCCAAACCACTTAAAATGAATGAGTGCATTATTAGAGTCAAGCTGCAGGCTCGGTTATAAAATGAAATTTCTGGATCATTTACGATCAAAGCCAGACTGGGTAACATGTAGCTTATCAGCCTTGCTGTGTGGTTGAAACACTTTTTGAAACAGCACAGCCTCTTCTAATAGTAACTGGAGCCTAAAGGTGTGTCCAAGAAATATGAATTGTCCTTGAAGAGTTAAATATATTATGTGCTTCATCATGCTCACTCATTCAATCACAACATGTAACTGCTAGACCAACCCCAACTCAGTTCTAGCTGTCTCACCTCATGCTTTTGGGAGGCAAGTGGACTGGTGAGTCTCCCACTAAAGTAGGATTTTAGGAACAATCCTTCATTTATGACCTACATGTCCTCCATAGGAGACTCAAGATTTATGAAACCAGTTAGTTGCTGGAAAAGGAAACTGTAAACCCTATAGTCTAAGCTCCCCAAAGGGGGAAATTCAGCTAATAAAAGCTAATATAATGGGAAGTACTAATCTCACATACCAGGACTTTTCAATGCCACACAGTCTGCTTGTGACACCACCTCTTTTAATTACCAGTGTGTGTATGTGAAGGTCTTGCCTGATGACCAAGCTCCTCTTTGCAGTTATAATGCCCAAGAAGTCATTTCCTTCCTCTATGCAGCCTACTTGTATCAGTACAGTATGAGGAACTTAATTATAATTTTTTAAATATGAACTGTGGAATCTTTAACTTCAGAGTTATTGTTTAGAATTAGAGCCTATGGACCACCTCACTACAGGATGCCTCTTTTAATGTTTTATTTGGCTAGTGCCAGACGATTTTAATAAGCACAGAAAGAACCCTTCATACTCAAGGGGTTAATAAACTACCTTCATTAACCCTTTCACTACTGGACATCACTTTTAATATTTGTTTGGCTAGTGTCAGATGATTTTATTCAGCACAGAGAGATCCCCTGTTCACAAGAGGTTAATTAAGGTGTTCCATGGTGTGAATGTATGAGTTAACAGCTACTTTTTAAGAAACTGACTGGAATCTAATGATGGTCAGTCGTAATGTGAGCTGGATTATAGCCTAAGAAAATCCATAAACCAGTTGCTTTTTGGGAGGGCGTGTTTGACAACCAGGCTTGTTCGGATAGCAGATCTACATGTTGACTATCTCATTCTGATTTTTTTAGGACTGATGTGCTAACATTTAATTTTCATAATTATCCCCTAAAGACTTTGGCAACCTCAATTAGGTTGGGTTTAGTCAGCTAAGTGCCTTTTTTTATAACAGGTCAAATTTATACCCCTATTGTAGGTGCAAGTGTGAGTCATCTGCTTGAATTGTATTATTTTATCTGCAAGGACATTTTACAGTTGGCAAGTCAGAGAGGATGACTTGTAAACATTACATCTAGATAATTACTTTAGTTTATCCTCTTCGCCACTGATCAGTTCGTTAACTGCTTGGGTGCTCGGTCACGTCTCTTGTTACGCTCTGTACTGGTCATGTACTAGCTCCTGAATGTATCTGTACCTGCACCAGTGATGGTTAGGTCTGGTCTTGAAAGAGCTCACTCTCAGTGCCATCACAACACTGGCAGATTGTTCCAAAGTTTACAATTCTCACTCTGAAAAGCTTACCCTGACAATTCTCTGAACTTGTGGCTCTTTCAACCTTGAACTGTGTCCCCCTAGTGGGATGAGCATCCTCCAGCTCCAGGGGTGAATACTTGACTAAGTAAGGACCTCTAAGATGATTATAAACTTCATTTAAGTCACCCCTTGCCTGCTTGTAGTATAAGTTAGACAAACTGCAGGCATTATATTCATCATATTTATAATATTGTACTGTACTCTGTAAAAATGGCCCAAGGACGGTACTATGCTAAGTATAAAAGTTGAAATGCCATTACCTCCCAGCAATATTGTATAAACTTCCAATTTCCTGGATCAGTGAAATCAGTGGAAGAACAAATGCAAAATGAAGAACATGCGGTAAATCATGATTGTCCCAATAATGAAGCAAAATATCAGTGTAGGATTACCCAGAGTTTGTATAAGTGACTCCTGTGAAAGATTATGAACTCACTAATAATCAAGCATAAATGAATGAGAGTCCAAATTTCTGATAACAATCACACTGAAACTGCATAAGAACAATTTTGTGCTGCAAGTGATGATAAAATAAAGTAAACACAGAATTATACTAAAGTTTATGTTTCTGGGTGACACCTGTATGACTAGATCTGAGTTAAATTAATATAGGTTATAGAAATAATGTTAGACACGAGTTTGGGGCAGTGGAGTACTGTATAGGCTGCAGAATGCATTCTCCCCACCCCCCCCTTTTTTTTTTTAAGTAGATGTTTTTTGTAATTTCAGTTTGTACGTCTAATATGGTGGTAAATATGGTTGAAACCACACAGGAAATATAAGAGCCTGTCCATTGCAGACAAGCTGAAAATTATTAGCAGGTTTGACTCAATTGGTGCAAATCATTACAGATTCATGACTTTTCAAGCTGAATCTATGAGACTTGAAACATAGGTGCTCTGCACTCTATAAATTTTTGGCTTCCAATCACCCTGATGCATAACTCTGTGGTATACGTTCATAATTCAAAAAGGAATACGTAATTTATTATTTACTTCAATAAAAACAATATCATATTACTGTATCTTTCATAATACAGAATAAAATTGAAATAATTATAAATGTTTTAACTTGGGTATGATAGTACAGTATACACATTCGTTGAAAGGAAAGGAGATGGATCTTCAGTACACCACAAACATAACTGCAGACCTTAAAAAGTGCGACCTGCATTAAATGATCCTGTATCTTAGTAGACCATCAAAAGAAACTGTTGGTGCTCCTCTATGGCTTCATACACTGTAGCACCACTTTGTTGTCTGCTATTTTCACAGCGTGCTTTCACTGATTGCTGCTTTTCCATTTTACTTTTTTTTTCCTACTTGTGATTTATTCTTTGTCTGCTCCCTTCCTTACACATTTTTTCCCTGTGTAACTCTTAAAAGTGTAAGTATTGAATTTCTTACATCCCCTATTACAGTATAGTGAATCTGTTAAATATTTAAATTAATTGGCTTTACAGAGTTGTAGAAGAAAATTCACAATTCATAAAGCAATAATCAGAAACAAATTATGTAATACAAGTACTAAGAGTTGGCTGCAACTAAAACCTGAGCAATCCTCACAGAAGAGAGAGAATGCATTCCCTTTCTCCTT